TGAGTATCGGAAGGAAATGGCAATAGGGATGAATATCAGAAGGAATGGCAGTAGGGATGAATATCAGAAGGAAATGGCAGTAGGGATGAGTATCGGAAGGAAATGGCAATAGGGATGAATATCAGAAGGAAATGGCAGTAGGGATGAATATCAGAAGGAAATGGCAGTAGGGATGAGTATCGGAAGGAAATGGCAGTAGGGATGAATATCAGAAGGAAATGACAGTAGGAATGAGTATCAGAAGGAAATGACAGTAGGAATGAGTATCGGAAGGAAATGGCAGTAGGGATGAGTATCAGAAGGAAATGGCAATAGGGATGAGTATCGGAAGGAAATGGCAGTAGGGATGAGTATCGGAAGGAAATGACAGTAGGGATGAGTATCAGAAGGAAATGACAATAGGGATGAGTATTGGAAAGAAACGAACGTAAGAGACATGATGAATATTTATTGGGTGGTATGAATAGGACTTGATTACTCTTCATATGCAGCGTCTACCTATAACTGTTGCAGTCTTTTTTTCTAAGGACGAATTTTCAAAGTTGTGTCTTTTTTTTTCTGCTTTGAAATTTACGGGGTGGGGTGGGGGGAAGGGCGATAAGCAAATCAAGATCCGGTGAGGTGCGAATTCTAAGGCATCTGCTGCTATGAGGCATAAATGACATAACAAAAAGGTCCGTGTCGCGAGGTGTTTCTTCAAACTTAACTGTTTTTTTGTCGGCACGTGTACCGTTGGAGCCCTACGGCTTCGTGCATGTAGGGTATAGTTGCTACACATCGTTACCAGCTCCGTTTGAGCGCTACACCGCCGACACCTGCAGCCGTTGCGTGGGAAGTTCACCACTTTTGTCTTTGGCCTTCTCATCACTGCACCAGCCAAAGACAGTCTGCCGTCACTATAATCGAAGACCAGGTTGAAGGGATCAATTGCTGGCTCTTCGCTTCCCTCTTTGCAAGGCAATGAGCCCCAGCACCACGTTAAGGCGGCCTGCGGCTTCGCCGGCGGCGTGTCGTGTTAACAATCCAGTTTTTTTTTTTCATGTACGTGCATAAGGATTTATGCACCAGAATCATTGCACTTTTTAAAATTTTTAACTGCGCCTCTTTCTCTATCCCTTTATCATCACGCAACATTTTCCTTTTAAGTTGGTGATATGACTATTCTGGTGGTCCCTTATTGCGTGCATGTGCCTGATATCTAGTTATATATTTTTTGTGTAATGCTTTTTTTCTTGCTGCTTTTGTTGAACCATCTGCTCTTGCTGCGTTGGCGACCAGATCTTAAGCTCGTGAGGAATCGTGAACGATGTCGGCTGTCAGCAAGAGGGCCACCAAGAAGGTCGCCAAGAAGGTGAGCCGTAAGAGCCCCGAGTACACGACGGTGCGTAAGAGCTGCACACCTGGCACCATCGCAATCATTCTTGCCGGGCGCTTTCGTGGCCGCCGTGCGGTGATTCTGAAGCAGCTGCCCGGGAACGGCCCGCTGGTCATCTCTGGGCCCATGAAGTACAACGGCGTGCCGATCCGTCGCATCGACTCTCGTTACATCATCGCGACCTCGACGAAGGTGGACGTGAAGAACGTGGACGTGAGCGGCATCACCGCTGACATCTTCAAGCGCCCGAAGCAGGAGAAGCGCGTGAAGTCGGAGGGCGAGTTCATGGGCGACAAGGCCAAGAAGGCCGCGGAGCGGAAGGCCAAGAAGACGGCGAAGGCGGCACCGAAGGGAATCGTCAGCGACGCCCGTGCGCAGCTGCAGAAGAAGGTTGATGCCGCGCTCGTTGAGGCCATCAGGAAGGACCCACTAGGAAAGGAAAAGGCCGGCTACCTTCACTCCGTCTTCACCATCAAGCCAGGTGATGTGCCGCACCGCATGAACTGGTAAACGTGACGACTGATCGGGCTTTGATCTACACCCTTGTGTTTTCAGGTATTTTTCTTTGTTTTTTTTATTCCAAAAAATCCAAAATAAACTTTTTTTTTGTCCTGCTGGCTTTCCAGTGGATTTCTTGGAGACGGGTATGCTTACGACCGCCTTTTTAGTCGTCGTGGAATTAGGTCTGCCAAGGCCATTTTACATGCCTACTTTTTTTTTCTTTCTCTCTCTTTCTCTGGCTCTCTTTTCTTTCGTGTTGTTTCTGTTCTTCAGGACTCTCTGTCACATTCACGGCCTCTGCAACGGAAGGGCTGAACACACACACACACACACACACAGCGAGGAAGGAAAAGTTAAAGGCGTCTGTAAGATGGGCGATAGCGACAGTGATTCTTACGACCCGGCAGAGAACAGCAACACGAAGGCTGTGCAGAATGTGGTTAATCACCCGTATTTTTCGGCTACAGTGACTGGAAAAGACAGTACCAGCAGTGTTTCTGCACCCTTGTCGCTGCCTTCCTTAGCTCACCAGGTAGAAACAGAGACAAGAAACGACCCTACAACAGCACCGTCTGTCACAGCAGATTTGAAAGCTTCTTTGACGTCATTGGGCTATGTTCTTCACGGGGCATCGGGTCGGGTTCGTTCCGTCTGCCTTAACCCCTCAGGTTCCATACTATGCAGTGGTGCGGAGGGAGGCTCTGTTTGTATGTGGGATTTTACAATTCCGATGGAAAGCCGTGCTGTAAAGCCTACACGTGTTCTTACTCCATTTCCTAACCGCATCTCTGGATTTCAACCTGTTGTATCTGTGCATTCGTCTAGTGATGGATCTTTTTTTGTTGCTTGTCAAGATGGCGACTCACCGGTTTTGATTGCTGCATCTGGAAAACAGCTGGGATACTGCGCTATGGGGCAGCGTGGCATGGTGGATGTTCTCCAGTGTAAGGGCCACAGAGCACCCGTAACCTGCTCCGCGGCGTCTCCAACGGTTTCTTCACGCTTTTTTACTGGATCACAGGATAGCACGGCCCGTATGTGGGATGCGGCATCGTTTGACCGACATTCTGTCTACGCAGTTAAACACGGTTCTGGTCAACTGTTAGAGAATGTTGTTGTGGAAGCTGTTGCACCTATTCTGAGCATCAATAATGACAAGAAGTCCGTGTTTTCTACCGGTGGGGAGGATGGGCTGGTGCAGTTGTGGGATTCGCGTCAAAAGTATCGACCTGGGGGTGCAATTGGTGCACTGGACTTGTACAGCAGCAAGTCAGGTGTTGCATCAAAATCCAAAGTTACAAATAGAGAGATATTGTTTGAGGAGAAACATGTGGGTGGCATGGTGGAGCCAGACACGTCCCGTCCCATTCTGTGTGTGCGGTGTGGCTCTGAAGTGCGTATGGTGGATCTTCGAAAAATGGGGAATAACGGCGTCATTGAAGACGTTTGTCCACCACTTGAAGGCCTTCCATGTGCCACAGATACAACACCACTGGTGGCGTGCACAGGTGTCCTCTTCTCGCAGGGAAAACCGTCCTTTATGACGTGTACTAGCCGAGCAGGCTACCGACATGTTGCAGGGGGTCACGTGGTACAGTTTACATACATGGATGGGAGATATGAGCCCACCATGGTGTGGAGACCTGCAGCCCCGGAGGACGACGTTCTCTCACTTGCTGTTGATGTGAAACATGGACAACTTTTTGCAGGAATGCAGACTGGCAATGTCGTTGGACGTGTCAAGAGGCTGGGTGTAGACAGCGCCGCTAACGGGTCAACGCTTCAAACGTGGTTCGCCACGCGACCGGAACGCGAAAGCCGTGTGGTGGGAAAAAAGTCTACACGAGAGAACACGGATGGAGATGAAGAAGAAGATGAAGTGGTGTTTTGATGAAAAACAAGATAAAAATAAAGGAAATATTGGCGTTTGATTTTGTTCACACCGCGATTCTGTAGTGTTGTTGAGTTACTCAGTCATTAAGAGGCATAAAGACACCTGCAAGCATGCATGAACGCATGCGGTAGCCAAGTAAAGCCGCACATAAATGGTAAAGCTCATTATTGCCATTTGTGCTGCTTCTTTTTTTTTGTTTCACGTCTTTTTGGAACGGGGTCGTGACAAGCGTGGAGTAGATAGATTGCTGGAGCTATATCGATAATTGGGGGAGGAAAGTGGCGGAGGTTGCATTCACTGCTCTCATCACATGTCCGAGGTTCAGAATCGCACAGGCGAGAGCCATAATGTAACTCTTTCCCGTTCGTCGGAGGCGGTGCTTGGGCTGCCACCGGCGTATGAAGATATATGCTGTTTTGTCGCCGAGTATTCTGGGTGTTTGCCGCGCAACGTTTTCACTGGCACCGCTCCTTACGAATATACTGGCTGTGACTACGCACTTATCTTGTATGCTATTATGCCCAGCAAGTGTGTAGATCTCTCCAGCCTTTGCTGGTCCACAACGCCTCTTCCAGCGCAACTGGAGGCGAATCTGGCGGTATTTTGCGAAGGCTCTCGTGGACTGCAGCTATGTGACGCTCCCCTGTCTTCCCTGCACCCACACTGTCTTCGGTGCTCGCCTACCTGCATTGTCCACCACATCAAGGTACAGCATTGGCTTTTTGTTTTGTCACAACGATTTCCGCCAGAGAAGAGCTTTGATGCCGTGACACTGCGGATGCAGTTGCGCCATGCCCAACTAGGCGAGCCACGCCTCGCAACATCAGGCGCGTCCTCTTTTGCGGACGCCAACATCACTGGAAGGAATGGAGAGGACACGTTGACTTTCTCCTCTCCGCACTGTCATGCTATTTGGGAGGCACCAGCAGTGGCGGCCCCTGAAAAGGCGGAGCGTGACGATACTGCGATGCCCGATGCAGCAACGGCGGCACAAAAGAAACATAGGCTGGGTGGTGATGGTGGGATGCAACTGAAGCCATGGAGAAGTGCCGCCCGCCCGTGGCGTACGGCACCCGCCACCAAATCGACTGCTCTGCAAACCTCGCGAGCATCACCTGCATTGCAGTCATCTACTGGCGGCTGCAACAATCCGTCCATGTCAATATGTAATAATGTTGTTGCTCAGTGGAATGAGACTGAGCGACGGCGGTTGCAGCTCAGAGCGAATATTTCCCACGCCCGCCAGACACTGCAGTGTACATTGTTTGCTGATGGGACGATCGACTTTGATGGCATTCTTTCACTCTTGCAGCAAAAGTAGCAATGATATTTTGCAGAGAGCGACGCTTTGCGTCCATCACTTGTCCTTTTGGTTTTGGTCTCACCCTTTCTTTCTTTCTTTCACTGTTTGTGTGTGGGTGGGTGTAAGTGTCGCTTCTGCGAACTGAACTCCCCCTCCTTTGGTCAGCCTTAGATTTGCGAGTACCGCCGTTTCCTCCTTCACTTTCAGGCGAAGAAGAGAAAAGGAATTACAGGAAGTATTTCTGATAAAAACGGAAAAAAAATAAAAAAATGGAAGTAATGCACGTGCATGTCTGTCCACATATCAACATGACCCACACACATTGTTTATACGGGCTCTCGCTATGTGTGCACAATTTCCTTACTTTCCTCTTGTGTTTTTCCGTTGTTTTTTTTTCTGTGTGTCTGTGTATGCGTGTTGGCGGGAGGCTCGTGGGTGGTGAATGCGTCTCTGGTGGGTTGCGTCGCACCACATGGCGACTGCCTGTGGCCCCCGACGTTGGGCGCACGCAAGAGGAGACACCAAGAAGGAAACCACCGCTGAAGTCGGGGAGGTCGCTGGTGCGTAACCTCGTACAGCAGCCAAAGGACTACGCCCATGGGTATGGCTGCGCCTACACCCTGTGGAGAAGTGGATAACACTCGTTGATCTCCGGAGGCGCGCCCCATAACTGCTCGAGAGGTCCTCGTTTGTTGCACAAAGCGGTGGAGGGGAAGAAGGAACGACTGCGAACATAGTCACTCGTTTGTTTCGCTAGCGCAAAGCAAAGAATAATATTGCGGCACTGCAGAGACGACTCTCACCTTTGGCGCTGAGACGACATTATCAGTTAGTTCATAATCTCCCATATTGTACGCGCCTTCGGCTTCCGTACGCCAATACACGACATGTGCAGCGTAGTGTAGTGGCTGACGTATTCCCCACACGTATGATGGAGCGTTTTGTTGACTCCTTCACAACGGTTACCGTGAAAATGCATTCTGACATCAATGCGACCGCAGAGCAAGTGCCAGCGCCGCATGCATGGCATCCTGAACAAGACGAAAGAGTGCGCGAAGAGGAGAAGGAAAAAAGGGGGCTACGACGAATACGTATAAGAGCAACAAACAGTGGGAGGCTGTCCGGCGTATGCAACGTGGGATGTTACAGTGAAGTTGCGGGCTTCCGTAGTCTTGGAGGAGGTCGAAAGTGCTTGCTTACTGCTCAGGACATGCAGGCGAGACCAAGCAATGACGACAGGTTGGCTGGACGGAAGGCACGGAGCAGCTGCCGCTCATTACTTCAATCCCCTTTTGCGTCTTGGGTTTGTCGAAAGAGACTCTCCTCCGTCTCGTCCTCTGCGTGGTCAGTGAACGGTGCATGCCGCTCGGCGCTTTCTTTCCCACTTGCCATTGATCACGAGGAGGATGAACGCTACCACCACAACTTTATCCGAGGCGAAGGCTGCCCGCTTGACGAGAATGGCCGATTTGCATTTGTGCCAATTCATATATTTGTGTCACCCGCCGCAAATTTATTGGCGTTGGAACGCTACTGTGTTATGGCGCACGCAGCAGTGTTGTCCTCCTTGTTCGTGGAGGGGCGCACGGTGTGTTGTACCACAAATCACTCTTTGCTTAAGGATTATGTCACGTTTCTTTTTGAGGAATTGGTCGAGGATGGCTGGGTGTCCGTGTCTTTGTGCGAGGAATCTCATCGTCCCTACGTACCTAGTTGGGCTATCAATGAAGGTGTCTTGGTGGTGCTGCCGCCCAGAGAAGGGAAGTCATTTTCCCAGCGTGACCTGCGTAACATGGCAGGCATGATTCACCAGTATGCTCCAGGTAGTGTTCTCGTTGATGCATTTCCGTGTGGGCAGATCTCCCACTACATCAAAGCTTTGAAAGAGGAAGATATCAAAGGAGCAGGCATCTGTTGTCACTTCAGAAACGGAGGCTCAGTGGCGTGTATCATGGCTTACTGTTCCACCATCCACGATCTTTGACCATATGAATAAGAGAGCGAATGATGGTACTGCTGAGTTTCAGGCTGCTGTAAATGAGATTTTGCGGCAATTTTATGCGGTAACTTTCATTTACACACCTTACAACTGCTGCTTTACTCGTAGGCAAGTGTAGAATTGGTGGTGGCACAAGCTTCCTAACGGTATTCACGTTGCTGCTGTGAATAGCCATGCGCTGGACCTTTTGTATTACTTTCCGCAAGCTCCATGTTTGCGGAAGAACGCTGGTAATGTGTTTCGATACCGTGCCGTGCAACGTGTGTTGCTTGGCAAGAACCTTTACGATGGGAGAGAGGACCCTGTGCGTCGATGGGCGCATCGATATCTCGGCTTATGTGGGCTTGCTAGGACCGCCTTGTACGGTCCGATGGCGGTGAAGGACAAGGCAAGGACGCTTTTAGTTGATCACGCCCCCCCGAGCTAACGGCATTGATAGTTACGATGAGGCGGTAGATGCCTTGGCGTGGGAGCGGACTGTGGACCACCTGGCGACTCCAAGTAGGATCTACTGGCTTGCGTTGATAGCGGCGAAGCTGTTTCATGTGTAGCGAAAGAAACGGAAATATCCTACACACACGGGGAGAACAGCGAAAGAGGAGTCAGATGGATTTGGTGTTTCTCGTTGTACTTTAAAACGAGGCACCAAGTCGTTTTTTTTTTGTGTGTGTGCCTTTGTTCTTGTCGGAAGGAAAACCGCTTTTATATATTTGATATTTTCTCCTTTTCCTTGTGTGGAAATAATGGACAGGCACACACACACACACGCAGGGCCTATATATATATATATATATATATATATATATA